CTTTATCAAATTGTAAATGTAAATCACATGCGGGTTACCCTTGTAACAGATGAAGGCTGGTAGAATGTTATGGCCCAGATCTGGTGATGGGTATGGTGATGGAGAGGCGCTATGTCAATGGGGGTCCTGGAAATGGTGGCAGTGGCGGTAGGCATTCTGGCTTTATGCCAAGCTCAAACGTGCCTTGTTCCAGAGACAAGAGATCCGTAACCAAGTATTGCTTAGCTTAGCCCATGGCAATCCCGATAGCCATGAAGGTTGGTTACAGATGATTTAAGGTTGGGGTATCTCCGATGACGGGCAACCTGTGGGGAAGACCCCTCCCACCTAAAACAGGGGTTCAAGGTCCCCCAAAGACGGGAAAGGGAGGGTGACCCTACTTGACCTAAGCCAGGAGTGCCTCATTTGAAAATAAAAAGGGGTGAATTGTGGGAACACCAGACCTTGAGCAGAGACCCACTTCCCCTTCTGCCTGGGAGTAGGCAGCTGTAAGACAATGTTTAGTAAAAACATGTTTACTAAAAACGATACAATAAGTTCCTGGCCACTTCCCCTTCTGCCTGGGAGTAGGCAGCTGTAAGACAATGTTTAGTAAAAACATGTTTACTAAAAATGATACAATAAGTTCCTGGGAAAGGCCTTCCCACGGAAACCGCCCTGACCTCGACCTTGTCCAGAGACTAACCGCACCTTCAAAAACCCACACACATCCACCTCTGGTGTCAGAGCAGAACCAGCCAGGGTAGAGGAGAGAGCAGAAGCTTCTCTGGTGGGAGCTTTTCTTAGGAAGTTTTTCTTGAACCTTTTTGGAGCCTGTTTAAAGTTCTCTTTATATCATTGAACGAGTCTCTGTGTTGTCAATACCCGACACCCTCCGCACGTTCTCGGACATAGGCCGCGCAGCAGACGTGACAGAGATATGTTTCAGATGGATATGTATTCTTCAAACCTTTCAAAGACCTACAGAATATGGCATTTGACATGGTTTGTTAACAGGATTTTTTCATGACAATGAGACACAACTGCTCCTGGCAGCAACAATTACATCACAGAAGAAGATGGGCATCAGAAAAACTCCTTATGGTGCCACGCCCGCTGTGCGGCCTGTGTCCGAGAATGTGCGGAGGGTGTCCGGAATTGACAACACAGAGACTGGTTCAACGATGTAAAGAAAACTTTAAGCAGGCTCCAAAAAGGCTCAAGAAAACTTCCCAAGAAAGGCCTCCCTCCAGAAAAGCTTCTGCTCTCTCCTTACCCCTGGCTGGTTCTGCTCTGACCCCAGAAACTGACTTGGGTGTGTCAGAAGAGGCGGTTAGTCTTTGGAAAAGGTCAAGGTCAGGGCGGTTCCCGTGGGCCAGCCCTTTTCAGGAACTTATTGCCCCAGGCATTATATTGCTTTTTGTAAACATGTTTTTAGTAAACATTGTCTTACAGCTGCCTACTCCCAGGCTGATGGGTCAAGGTCTGGTGTCCCCACATTATGGAGTTTGCTTTCAATGTGGGAGGGATAGCCATTTGGACAAGAAACTGCTCTTGCCTGGACCACTTAACTATATGCTATATAAACTGGACATGCAGGGCCCACAAAAAAGTGACTGATAAACTTGCTAAGATAAGATGGGATGGTATTTCAGGGTTCCTGCTTCACAGAAGAAACTGCAGACATTCTACAAGACACAGAAGAAATCAACTGACAAACTTTGCCAGCACAAGGCAGAACAGATCTTCAAATTTTCTGCTCCATTGAAAAGTCTGCCAGATACTATGGGCTTGTGAACTAAAGATGGATGCCCCAATGTTGCATAGGAGGTTTGGGTGACTGTCCAGGCAGCAAGACGTGTCTGTCAATTCTAGAGTTTTAAAAGTTGCTTACAACACACTTCCTGTTTACTTAGGTAATACTATATCCTTTTGGGGTCTTTGATGGAGTTGAAGACAGCTACAATTGTTTTCCTTTATAATAATAAAAGATAAATTAGATATAATACTTCAGACTCACAAAGATAGATGATAGAGTATTTTCTTAAAATTTTGCCAAATGTAAATGAACTAAACATTATAATTCTTACTTGATAGCTGTTTTGTCACGTATAATTTTACTATGTTGAAGTTAAAAACCTTCCTTTTTATTTAGAAAAGGGAAGATGATGGGGATGTCTTCTGTATGCTGTGACTCTATTTTTCTTATTGGTTGATGAATAAAGCTGTTTCAGCCAATGGAGAGGCAGAATTTAGCTAGGTGGGAATTGCAAACAGAGAGGCAGGGAGAAGGAAGATAGAGTGAGCAGATGCCATGCAGCCCCAGGGAGGAAGAAAACCCGGCATCGCCTAGGTAAGCCAAGGCCACGGGTGATACAAAGATTAACAGAAATGGGCTAATAATTAAGAGAGAGCTAGCCAATAAGAACCTAAGCCAAGGGCCAAACAATTGTAACTGATATTAAGCCTCGGAGTGGTTCTTTCATTAAGTGGCTTCCGGGCCCCAGTGGGTGAAGAGAAACCAGTCCAGGGGGACCGAGATAGACTGAGAAAGGCATACGCCTTTAATCCCAGCACTCAAGAGGCAGAGGCAGGCGGATCTCTGTGAGTTCAAGACCAGCCTGGTTTACAGAGCTAGTTCCAGGACAGCCTCCAAAACAATACAGAGAAACCCTGTCTCGAAAAACAAAACAAAAACAAAAGAATGGGCATATGCATGACTTAAATGAAGATATATAAATGTGTTTAGTAAGTTTATTTTCCAGACAATATAATATATACACATATGAAGGAAAGATAACACTAGAAAGAAGGAAAACACTTGCAAACATGTATCTGGCAAAGGACTTAAAAGTACCAAAATAATTCTCATAATTCATTAATAAAAGGGAACTGAGTAAGTTGGTGTGTGCCTGTAATACCAACACTTGAGAGGAAGAAGCAGGAGGATCAGAAGTACAAGGTCATTCTCAACTACGAAGTAAGTTTGTGACCATCTACAATGAGACCCTCCCTGTCACACAAAAAGAAAAGAAAAAAGACAATCCAGAATCCAGGCACCAAGGCTCATGCCTGTGAGCTCAATACTTAAGAGGCTAAAGTAGGAAGATTCTATAGGCTAGGTTGCATAGTAGTTATTGACCCAACCCTAAGCTATAAAATGAGACCTTGTCTCAAAAAGAAAAAAAGAAAGTAAGGGAAGAAAGGAGAGAGGGAATGGATTTTTAAATGTGACAGTTGTGGGTATAGCTTAGTGACAGATCATAAAAGAAAAAGAGAGGAGGAGGGGTACAGTCAGGCAATAAAGTGGCTACATCAATATATTTTTAAAGCATCTGAGGATCATATACTGAATGATTCCAATTAAATGAAATGTACAGAATAGAAAATGTATACAACCCTTTCAAACTAAATAATCCAATGATTTTTGCTCATGCATTTATATGCTATGTCTAAATTTTAACATCCTTCTAAAATCTTTTTCAAGGACTTAAAAGTACAAAAGAGCACTATAGATCAAGAACAGGGCAAAATTGTAAAATAGCAAGAAAAAGTCCTATCAACATCAAAGGTAGAAAACCAATTGTCTTTGTTGGATGCCATCAAAGACTAAAATTCTTTTCAAGTTAAATTTTGGTCTCTTTTTGAAATGGAAATTACTATGAATAATTAAATTGCAATTTGGACATTACTCATATATTTTACAAAGCAGTCAAATGTAATTCTAAATGAAGCAAATATACATTTTTAAGTAGGAAAAAGTATCAGAATTTTGGAGTCATTCAAGTTTGGATAAAAGCCTATTTATGATATAGGTGAACATTAACAATTTACTTGTGCCCCTGAGGCTTAGTGCCTTCTGTAAGTAAGGAGTTACAATACCTCCTCCAGGGTGAAAGAAAACTTCAACTATATGCTAAACAGGGTTAAAGACGTGGACTTGTAGAAGTTTATTCTTTTGGGGTGAGGGGATAAATAGGTTCTCACTATGTAGACCAGGCTCCTCTCCCAATCAGAAACAAGCCTGCCTCTGCCAAAAATCAAAGGCATGTTATCAAAAACATGCCCACTCTTATGTTTTAAAACCTATCAACATATACTACTTAAATTTTTTGTAACTTGCATACGTTAAAACATTTTTTTAAAAAATTTAATAAGTTAGCTACATTATCAGATTCTCAAAGTTGTTATTTTTTTGTTTGCTTTTTTCCCCTCTTAAGACAGTGTCTTGCTGGCTAACATGGAATTCATTATATGGCCCAGAATAACCTCGAATTCATGGCAATCCTCCTGCTTCAGCCACCCAAGCACTGAGATTACAGGCAATGCCACCATGCCCACAGATCTGAGAGTCATTTTTAAGATACGGACACACAGGAGATGCACAATTAAAAAAAAATCGTGGGGCTGGAGAGATGGCTCAGAGGTTAAGAGCACTGGCTGTTCTTCCAGAGGTCCTGAGTTCAATTCCCAGCAACCACATGGTGGCTCACAACCATCTGTAATGAAATCTGTTGCCCTCTTCTGGCCTGCAGGCATACATGCAGACAGAATGCTGTATACAGAATAAATAAGTAAATCTTAAAAAAAAAAATCGTTTCTACAGTGGTATTTCTCATCACTTCCAAAAATGTCTTCAATTGAGGTAACTAAGCCATAGAAAAAGCAATATCAAACATTTATTTACTTGTTTACTTATTTATTCTGAAGGCTAAGGTTATCAAGAAAGAAAGAAAATTATCTGATATGGTAGCTCACCAGGCAATCGCAGACTGAGCCACAAAGTGAGTTTAAGACTTGCCTGGGTTACGGAGCAAGACTCTTGTCTCAAAACAAAAAACTAAAAAGGAAGAAGGATGAACCCAAGTTCTTAGAAATTTTACATGGAAATAAAACTATGTCCATGTGCTCCCGGGCACCATTCAGGGTTTGGGGGCTTTATTCTTCTGAAGCCCCAGGGACTAGATGGAATGTCAAATCACAAAGTGATAACATTATCAAGTGAAAAGGGAACTTGGTACCTTAATCTTTTCACATCAAGCCAAAATCACGGTGCAGGTCAGAGAATCATTTTTTGCTAAAAAACACAATACAAATACAATGAATGATTATCATTTATTCGATAAGTAAGGTAAGATATAGCTACACCGGTAAAGAAATATCAGTTTTGCTTCAGGGTACATAGAGGTAAATGAATATCAATTAACTGGTCTAGGTTGTCACCTCACATTTTCAAAACATTGTAAGAACTTCTCAGTCAGGTGTAGGAGGCAGAGGCAAGCAGATTTCCCAGTTCATGGCCAGCCTGGTATACATAGTGAGTTATAGGATGGCCAGGGCTACACAGAGAAACCCTGTTTTGAAAAACCAAATAATAACAATAATAAGATAACAATTATTTCTCTCCCATGTTGTAATAGATGAATAAAGTCACACATTAGAAGGATTATGTCAGCCGGGCGTTGGTGGCGCACGCCTTTAATCTCAGCACTTGGGAGGCAGAGACAGGCGGATCTTTGTGAGTTCGAGGCCAGCCTGGTCTACAAGAGCTAGTTCCAGGACAGCCTCCAAAGCCACAGAGAAACCCTGTCTCGAAAAACCAAAAAAAAAAAAGAAGGGTTATGTCAGTAAGTACAAGACTTGCTTTACAGAACTGCCATGATGCTCTGGGGTGCTTTCACTAGTAATGTGGCGTTTGGTAACTTGCCTTAAAAGATGTGATTGAACCTTTGCAAGTTTGTGCGTGCGTGCGTGCGTGCGTGTGTGTGTGTGTGTGTGTGTGTGTGTGTGTGTGTAAATGAATTCTCATATAGATTCACTTTTGTTTGAAGAAAAAAAAGTGTCTCATGTAGTCCAGGGTGGTCTCAAACTCAATCCTCTGGCCCCTACTTCCCAGTTCCTGGGGTTCCAAGCACGCAACACCCAAGCCTGGCTACCATTATGAAACTTATAATTGACAAATCAGATCCTGGCACTTTCCTTTAATCTGAGCACTCAGGAGACAGGAAAAGACCTATCTGTGAGTTGCTCAAGGCCAGCCTGATCCATCAATAGAGTCTAAGAAACTAAACATATAGATACAGATATATAGATATAGATATACAGATATAGATATACATTCCTGGGGGCATTATCATATTTCTAGTTACCTTGTCTTACTTTAGGACATAATTCTAAAGGGGAGGCACACACTCAGCCCATTGTAGAGTTACAATAATAGGCACATGCCTGTAATCCTAGCACTCAGGAGCCAGAAGCGGGCACGCTGCCTTGAGTTTCAGGCCAGCCTGGGCTACAAGCGTGACACTGACTTTCAAAAAACAAACAAACAAGGTGGCACACGAAAGAGACAACAATGCTTTGCATTACTATTTTACCTCAAAATCCGCTGAATAGCTGGATAGAACAAATTAAAACCTTGTGCACAGTAAGGGCCCCTCTCTCATCCTAAGGTTTCTGGCTTTCCAGTCTCAACTCCCCAGCGGCTCGACGTCGCTCTCCCGCCGGCCGCGCCGCGAACCCGCACACTCATGCGGTCCGGGTTCCGGGCCTGAGCGCGTGGCCTCCCTGCGGCCCGCTCCCGCCGCCGACTGGGCCCCCGCGCGCCCGGCAGGGGAACCAACCTTCCGGGACGCTCACGCTGCCGACGGACGGCTCTCGGCGGCCCGGGCCGCCCCGCCGGGGTCCGCGCGCGTGCCCGCCCTAGCCCCGCCCCGCCGGGCATGCGCACGCGCCGCCGCCTGGAGGCCGACCGAGGGCGCGGCGGAGGGGAGGCCCGAGCGCCCTGGGCGGCGCGCGGCCGCCGACGTCCGTCCTCCCGGCGGGGCGAGGAGCGGCGCAGGGGAGGGGACAGCCAGGCAAGCAGGAAGCTGCGGCTTAAAAGGGCAGCGCGCGCCCAGCCCTTCCTCCCGCGGTCCAGGCCTGCGAGCCCCGGTCTCCTCCGGCCCCCGCCGCCCTCCTCTCAGCCCGCCGCCATGTACCGCCGCCTCGGAGAAGCGCTGCTGCTGGCCCGCAACGGGCCCGCCGCCCTGGGCTCTGCGGCCGCAGATCCGGCCGCGCTGCTGGGCTGGGCCCGCGGACAGCCCTCGGCCGCCCCGCATTCCGGGCTCGCGCCCACCTCCCGGCGCCACTACAGCGAGGCGGCCGCCGACCGCGAGGACGACCCCAACTTCTTCAAGATGGTGGAGGGCTTCTTCGACCGCGGCGCCAGCATCGTGGAGGACAAGCTGGTGGAGGACCTGAAGACCCGGGAGAGCGAGGAGCAGAAGCGGAACCGGGTGCGCGGCATTCTGCGGATCATCAAGCCCTGCAACCATGTGTTGAGCCTGTCCTTCCCCATCCGGCGCGACGACGGCTCCTGGGAGGTCATCGAAGGCTACCGGGCCCAGCACAGCCAGCACCGCACGCCCTGCAAGGGAGGTGAGCGCCCGCCGACCCCTTTCCGCCCTCCCGCCCCTGCAGCCTCCGGCCGCCCGGGCCGCTACTCGGCCCAGCCCAGCCCCGCAGGCCGTGCCCTCCTCCAAGCTCCCCGCCTAGGGTGTGGCAGCCTTAGAGGATACTGATTTTTTTTTTCCGCCCCAAAACTACCACGTAATTTGTCAGCCTTCTTTCTGGGCAAGCCTTCACCCCGGGTTCCCTGCATTTGCTGCTGCTGTCTGTGCACTGAGGACACTGCACCGGGCTTCCCTCTGGCCTCAGTGCCTGTCACCCAGCGTGAGCCCGGAACGCCAATGGCCGATGGTACAAGAACAGAAGAAAAAAAAATGATTTTCTTTCTGGAGTTGGAATCTAGAAAGTTTTATTAACCAGCAGAGCTTACTAGTCTTATAAATTAATAGGATTTTTACACTGATGACTTTCTGTGTTGTGCCCCTTTCCTCCTTTCAAAAAAAAAAAAAATCCCGCAGTCTAACGACTCTGACAAACATAGGGCGTCCTGACATTAAATCTAAAGGGTGTAGACTACAGAACTGCATGCCAGCCAATAGAATGAAATAGCCCTGGGGGTGTGTTCTGGTCCTGGCTAGCACCAGATTTGAGCCTCGGCAAAAGGTAGTCCTTGGAGAGTTGGTAGTCCTCAAGGTAGCCTGTGGCTTAAAATTTTGGATGTGTGTAGATTTGGCGTTTCTATTCACATTGCTTTCTCTAGGCAAGTAAAAACCTTTTTTTCGTTTTCTTCCCAATACATTTCACAATGCAGCGTTAAAGGTGCTGAGAGAGAGAGAGACAGAGAGAGAGAGAGAGAGAGAGAGAGAGAGAGAGAGAGAGAGAGAGAGAGAGAGAGAGAGAGAGAGAGAGAGGGAAACCCACCTGTCTTCTTTTGCTATTGGGGATCGGATTGGCAAGTGAGCACAGAGGAGTTTGCACTAGACCAGTGATGATCCCCAACCATAAAATTATTTTTGTTGCTATTTCATAACTGTTATGAATCATGATGTAAGTGTACACTATATGAGCCCCGTGGTGGTCGAGACCCATGGATTGAGAACGTCCGGGCTAGACTGTTGTCCGCCTCTTATACAGTAGTCTTTTTGCTACCAGCTGGGTTAAAAGGGGGTAAATTGTAGAAATGTTCCTACACCGGAAAAAATCGAGGCTGTGGTAGTGTTCCCAGTGGTGGAACAAAGGTTGTGGCTAAGGGTTCAATAATTTACCAAATTTGCATTGAGTCCACCCACTTCTAGGATTTACCTTTGGAGCCTAATTAGCTCAGTAGTTCCGTCTGCTAGAAGCTGTTGGAACCACTTTGACCTCTCATTTCCTGTGCAGTCAGTCTCCTGCCCTTTCCTCTTCCTACCACTCCTCATCCCCAAGCCAGGAACACTTTTGTACTCCCCTACAGAGCAAACAAGGATGTTGGAGCAAGAGACATTGTATTGCAAATGCTAAATTGTCCTTGTCTTTACAAAGGGCAGGCGGTGTTTTCCATTTTCTAAGGATGGCTCTTCTGTGTATTGTGATTTGATGGTGTTGACCCCAAGTCCTCTCTGTCTTGTCACAGCTCCACAGTCATTAAAGCAATTTAAGTTTGCCATGGTGTGTCATTTTAAGTGTTCTTGTTATTGCAGAAGTACTGATACCAAAATATTGAACCCAGTAACAAATATCACCAGCCTTAGCAGATCACAGTAACCATGGCACTTGGTCAAAATAGAGTGAAAGATGGGGTTAGTCTCTCTACAAAGAGGTCTGGTACTGAAAGAGCTATGTCCCAGGACAGACACCGAGAAACTGATTTGTAGTTAGTTCACAGTAACTGCATTGCATGATGATACAGCAAGAAAAAAAATGACCTTTAACATCTTAGGGCTTCTGAAAAACTTTATGAGCTGAGAAAGATTGTATAGCCATGAAAACCCTTAAGAAAATAAACAGTATATAAAATGATTAACAAAATCTGAGTGCTATGGACTCCCACTCTTTATTTCAAAGTGCTAACAATCTCAGCACTCTTGCAGAACACATATGTAAAAGGAACTTATTTTCAGTGGAAACTTTCTCGATATCTAAGACAGTTATCAAAAAGCCAACTGTTTAGTATGCATCTGTTTCCCCCAGCTGCTCAGGAGACTGGGACGTGGCGATCATTTGAACCCAGGAATTTGAGATGAGTCTAGACAATACAGGAGACCATACCTCTCAAAGAAAGAAAGTTGTCAGTCATGGCCTCCAGTCTTAGAAATACAGAATGTATTAGGTGCTTAGCTCTTAAGCGTGTTTACACCACCTCCATCACCACAGGTAAACTGTCTTCTCTTTCAGGGTTTTGAGGATTTTGTTTTTGTCCTCCTGTCTCAGTTTCCTGCTTGCTAGAAATACAGGCCTATGCCCTCCTGCCCCGATCTCCCAGTGCTTATTAAGGGAACTGTCATCTGTTTCTTGACATCCTTTTCCCAGCCGTTAGCTTTCTATATCTAATCTTTTCTCCACTCTGACCTTAGCCCTGAATTCCCTAAAATAAAGTCCTCAAGGTTGAACCAGGCCTGGTGACAGTTTGCTTGCAATCCTAGCTCTGAAGACTGAGCCGGGAGAGTTGTGAGTTGAAGTCCATCCTAAGCTACTCAGTATGAGACCCTGTCAAAAAACAAAAATGCTATAGTGAATCACTAGTGTGATCTATAAGGAGATAGTTTAAGGATATCGGTGAGTACTTTATTCCAAGTAAATACTTGATAAACCTGGTTTTGTGGTTCCGTTTTTAACTCAGGCTACTAGACTTGCCTCTTACCTGAGTGGAGCCTTGCCTAGCGCTCAAGGCCTGGATTCAGTCAGTAGCTGGGTATGGCAAGGTGCACCTTTATTCTGTAGCCCCCAGCACTAAGGAGGCAAAGCAGGGGGGTCTGAAGTTCAGGGCCAGCTCTATCTCCAAAAACCAAAAACTTCTTGTGTAGCAAAGATGGATATTGTAATAACCAACTGACTTGAGGAAACCTGTTTCGAAGGTTCTGCTCTGTTTTAAAGCATTGTAGAGATTGTTCCTACGTGAGGATATTCTGGGTGCATCATGTCACACAGTTGTTTGCTGCCGGGGCAGAGCCACCTTTTGGTGGGTCCCTTCCCTCAACCCTCCATTTGCAGGAGAGCCTGAAGCTGCACATTCTGAAAGAGAACAACTTTCTCAGTTTGTTGCCGTAACAGTTTTAGCATAACAGTCTTAAAGAAATCAGCTTGGGGCTAGAGGACAGCTCATAGGGGCAGTGCTTGCTGTGCTTGCAGAGGACCTGGTTTGATGCCTAGCAGGAAAATGGTGATTCACACCATCCACATCTCCAGTTCCAGTGGTGTGATACATGTTCATACATGCAGGCAAGACACTCACACACGTGAGATTCTCAGATAAAACAATGTAGGATACTTCAGCAGTCAACTCATTATAAAAGTCACTTTTCTTTGTCTTCTAACTTGCCCCTCAGTGTCTTGATCTTAAAACTATTAAACCAAGAATTTCCCATCAATGGTTCTTTCTCCCGTTAGAACTTTCTCAAATTGTCGTTTAAACATAGATGGTGTGCCGTAGATGGGCATCTTGTGTAGCCTTTTAATACTTTGAAAGCGTGACTGGCTGTGTCTTGCTGCTACAAAACAAAATACAGAATTTAGCCTGCATTATAAGCCAGATGGTTTACACATTCTTTAGTGATTAGCTGTGTTTGTAATACTTTTTAGTTAAATACAGAATTGTTTGCCTTCATAAAGACCTGTCATTTCATAAAAGCCATGTGTCTCTGCCCGGAAACCTGAGGCAATGTGCTACAGATTGTCTTGTCTCCCACCCTTTGTGTATGGGAGTACACTTAACTAGTTACAGGTCACTTGTACAGAGCACACTTTGTAAAAACTGGCACATATAAAACAGAAACCAAGCCCCAGTGCACATTGAACTCCAGAAAAATGGGTAGTGATTAATGCTTACATAAAAAAGTGAAAAGGTGAGTTTTTTGGCTTGTAACAGAAAGAAATTGGATTTTCCAGCTGGGTGGTGGTTGGCCGCGGCGGCGGCGCACGCCTTTAATCCCAGCACTCATGAGGCAGAGGCAGGCCTGGTCCACAGAATGAGTTCCAGGACAGCCAAAGGGTACAAGGCTACACAAAAAACCCTGTCTCTAAAAAAATTTTTAAAAAAAGGAGAAGGAAGGGGGAAAATGGATTTTACACTATGATAATTTAAATTGTTTGTGA